AGTCCGCAACGTTCGGCGGCAAGCTCGAGTATGCCGCTCGTGAAGAGGTGCCACTCGGTTTCCCCATCAGTTGTCATCACCGGGATGTGGAACCATTCGAACCGACTCGAACCTTCGTGCGATGTTGTTTGCAAATTTGGCTCTCGTGTCCACCGACGATGAGCCTGGGCGTTTTGTTGATGAGAGTCCAACTATGTCGAGTTCGTACGCTTCAGCCTCATGAACTAACTCCTGTTCTTTCCCTCTGATTGAGGATATAATCCAGTTTCTGACTGTACTGGTGGTGGTGTTCCCGTGGAGATTCTTCTGACCTGGAAAGGATAACGGGATTTTTGTTTTTTTTTTGCTGATTTGTACGTTCGTTTTTGTATTTCGATCTTTGGCAGTCGTTGTTACGCTGCTGCCCCCTGTCTCCGCCGCTACCAGAAGGCGATGAGCAGGTTTTGATCGCCGACCTTTAGCAGTCTGCCTAAGTCCCCCAACAGCCTGCACGACCCTTGGTAACCCGGGCGACGATCGAGCCGGCATAATTTTTGGAAATGTCAATTCCACGATGGGAAGTGTCTAAGTAATAAGCAGACTTCGCCAGGGTCTCCAACTGTCTGCTGATACATCTGTTGATGTATGCAAGAAAGATGTGTAGTATAATAACGTAATTATATTATGTCACAAATTAATATAGCGCCAATTTCTGTGTTATTCCCAGAGGAAGGGTTTGTAAAATTTTTTGTAATGCAGCGAATTGCGGCTTCTGGTACGAGTAGAAGATAAGGCTGAAATAATTCTGGACACAAGAAACCAAAAAAGAATATTTTTTCTTTAACTCAATGATTTGCACCAGACGGAAAAATTGGCAATACATTGCACTTGAGGTAGCAAATTGTATAAGCAGGTGAAATTTGAAAACAGTGTGATTTCGTCGCTTTGTTCGGTTCTTTAACTGTTCCCTCTAATGATTGCAAATATTTTATTTAATATGAATATGTGTCTCTTGCATTATTATTCATGAGTTTACCACAAAAGAAGTGGGCAACTGCTGTTAAATACCTGAAAAGTGCTCAGTCATCTTCCATTTCTTAGAAATATCATTAAAAGATGTAATGCAGGGAAAATCATTCGCGGTTTATCTGCCCAAGTTTGAATGATGAGCTTTCACTGGCGCCGAGTGGACGGTTCGGTTGAAAAGAATCATAGGGTGCTCCTTAATTTCGCTGCATAATAGCACAGGTGATTAGAAGTGCGAACAGATGCGACTAACGGTCAACTTTCGTATGGAGCAAAACAATATTTAATCAGCAGATTCGCCTCTCAGAGTAAAAGATATTACTCAAGGGCAGTTCCGTATTGTTTGTTGTCCCGCTATTACAAATTTTAAATGTCCAAAAAATACGATAAAAAGAGGACAACAACAAATAATAAACCAAGAAGCAAAAGAGTCTTGTTAGAGGGGTGTTCCGGCAAGTTATTAGAATCGGCTGTGCAACAGGAATGATGTTATGCCCGGAACCGTTGCATTTCTCTTCTCTTGTTTGTTCCCTTTGCCAAGTGCTTTTTTCGGTGTTACTCCCACGAGAATTCCTTTGCTTCGAAATCTCTTCTTGTAGAAATATTTTCCTGGTGTCCCATTGGATGGCTTGGTTCTTTTCGACTGAGCTTTACCATATCTCTGGTAAGGAAAATTGCATGTGTCCGTACCCTGCTCCCGCTGAAACGCAGGCCAGATATACTTGCATGTACTCGAGCCGTTCTTAGTTTTCTTCCAGGTTCTCAAATGCAGCCTTTTCTATGGGAGTAATTGAAGAGCGTGATATTGGGTTTTGTTAACCTGTCTGAATGTCTGAATCTATTCGGAAATCAAAACCTAGCGACGTTTCATCTCATGCGTGTTCCTGATCATAGTCATCATCCTACGTCTTATTTATGCAAAATCGTTCTGTACATGTGTATGTTCTGATATGACTAACGGCCACTGAAAAATTGTCGACGTAAAATGATTGATTGGTTTACAATAGTGACTTCTTCTATTTTCTATTAGTTACTTTATATTCTTCTGTTTCTGCTTGCTGAGGTGTTCCGTCTTGTTTCGTTGTATTGGCTTATGTCTTTGTTTATAATATAATGATAAGCATAGAGTTCAGTCAGGGCCTAGTAACATATCATTATTTTCATTAAATCATTTATCACAACTCCCTTAACACTAATAACAAACGAATGAATTCTGATTCAACGACAACGTCGCTAAAAGCCATAGCGACAACGTTTGGTGGTAGGTTATGAGTGACCATCGGTCATAATGTAGACACTCATTTCGCCACCACGAGCATCGTTGTAAGAGGCAAACATTCTGATCGATTGGTTCGCGTCATCGGCTCTTCCATTAGCGCCATTAGACATCTACCATGTCGTTAATCTCTTGCGTTTCGCAAATAAGTGTGTGAGAAATCGGTACCCGGATTTTAATTACGTTCTTAAATGGCCTCATCGCAATTAATATAAAATGGTGGCGGCGGAAATATCGCGTCCCCTGGCTAAAGCCACGCCGGAGGTCACCGAAACGGATCAATGCTGCTTTTGCTCTGAGAATTGCCGTCAGCGTTGACCGATCCAAACCGACCGGATGTGGTCAGCTGCTCGAGCGGCCAGGTGACCATCGCGTGATGTTCACCGCTCTGCATGATCAGCGACGTAAAGTGCGTGTCATCGAGTGTAAACTAACGAAGACTCCCAACCGCAGACGGCAGTGGAGACTCACAACCGTTCAAAAGACATGGCTTAGTTCAGTTTCGCGTGAATAACCATCGTGGCAAAGGGGGGCAATAAAACATGCCGCTCAAAATCAGCCGAATCCATGAATAAAGCCGTTGCACTACGAAACAAGATTTTTCAATCTTTGAAACGACTTGCCATACAACCCTTTTGTGCGACGATCAAACGAGCAGAGCAAATCAACCGTTTGCGGGTCGACAGGGGTCAAGTAAACAAACCGAACGCGAACCGCCGAGCGACGGACGGTAAACGTAAAACAGCATCGGCAAGAAGTAGGTGCTTTCGAGTACCTCACCGGTGAAACACTGTCGCGTTATCGAGTACTCATTCGTCTTACGGTTTCTTCGAACAACCGCCCCATTCGCTGACATTTTGCACGTTAACGGGCACGTTTATGGATAAGGAAGAAAAGAGCTACAGAACAGATACGTGTCCCCGATGGCTTGTTTGATCCACCCATCGCACCCAGGAACCCGCGGCAGAATTTGCGGTTTAATATGATTCCTATGACCCCCCCCCCACGTAAAGCAGCAGCAAGCTACGGGATTCAACGTAGCTAAGGCAGCAGCAATATCTCCATCGTGATGTAGAGTTTTGTATGCCAGGAAGCCGGCTTCCGCGGCGTCTGGCACTGCCCCATGTTCGTAGGTGCCTAGTGAGCCAGTTAAGTAGGCCCCTGCTCATGTTACTCATTCGGGGATGAATGCGTTTCGCCCCGTTTCGTTGGCAAGAACAGGTACCTTGAGCATCACCGATGGTGTTTCAGTAGCCTATGTCGTGTTCTCTGCCATTCATTGTCACGGACCGCTACGGGATTCCATTCCGGTCGCGGGTTACCTGCTTTAAGACGCCTTTTCATTAGTTCCGGTTCGT